TCTTTTTATAGATTTTGTCCTTGTCTGGATATTCCTGTTTTTTTTCTTCTTTTTTTTTTTTGTGAGCCGCCCAGAGTCACCCATTGGGGGAGATGGGCGGCATACAAATTTGAAAATAAATAAATAAAAATATAGTATGTGTCTATACAACATGAATTCACTTATCTGTGATTGATAGATAAATAGAGGAATGCTGTTTATACAGTATAGCATGAAGTGTATTTGTCTCTTATGAAAAATGGGAGGTGAACATTACTAGTACTACCCAGTTGAACTTGCCATTTTGTTTACTGCCCACTCAAGTCAGTTACTACATATACACTACTTTGTTAGTACCTATTGTGCCCCCTCCTCATTGTTGATGTTATTTCTTTTAAGTGTGCTGCCCTCCCACCAATTGAGTAAACAAGAACATGCCAAAGAGCGTGCTTGTGATGAAGTATCAGGTAGAGAAATGGAGAAAAAAAGGCTTTATCAGTTGAGAAAACCTTTGAAATTCTCAATTGTTTTGAAATAAATGACAGAACATGTGACTTCATGTGTGCTACTGGCCTACGTGAGGTGGCATTATGGACAATCAGGAGAGATATTGGGAAAATATTAGGATTATTTAAAGACATTAGTAAACAAATATCACTAGGGCACTCAGCTTGAAGGTATTGAGACAGTAAAGACATATTCAGTCACTAGAGGCTGATATGGCATAAATATGTTATCTTCTGTATCCCATCCTGGTCTCCTTGCAGTATGGAGGCCTTCCCTTCATATGTTCATCCCAAAGTCCATGTTGCTGGAGAGAAAGTAACCTACACATATTATTTGGCTGTTCTCATTTTTTGTTTAATGACCCAGTTGTTCCAAACTCACAAGTAACAGCTGAGAGCATAATGTTACACTAAAGCTGCACCATCCCAGCTGCTCTTTCACCTTCACCTCTGAGAGGACAAACTACTGAGGAATTGGGTCTCGCCTTCAGTATGGTTTACTCCAAAAATAACTGAGTCCTAGATGAGTCCTGCTGAAAAACCTTTCCCAATAAAATCAACTTCAAGGCCTTTCGAAACCATAAATAAAAATATGCATAAACAATTGGGTTAAATGTTGAATTCAAATAACCAAACCAAACCATTGCATCAATAAAGATGGGTGGGATTGTATAATTCATAAATGGACTCATGATGGTGCAGAAGAAGAATGGGAACCAGCAAATCAGGAAAACTCCAACCACTGTACCTAATGTTTTTGCAGCTTTTCGTTCTCTGCTGTGGGAGATGTGATGTTTTAGTTGAAATCTTATCTGCATTTGGTTCATAGCAGCTGTAATGGATCTAGCTTGCCTTTTGGCTATTATGTATATCTTCCCATAGACAAACAGCATGATAAATCCAGGAATGTAGAAGGAAATCATGGAGGCAACCACACCTGAAGTTTCATTGAAAAAGACAAAACAGCCTCCCACACAATAAATGAGTCTGTAGAATGTTTCTTCAGCTCCTAATAAGTTGAGTTGCAAAAAGACCAGTCCAAAGGCAAACAAGGCAGGGAATATCCAACTAATCAAAATCATGATTAATATAACACAAGTGTTTATCTTGGTTTTGTATCTCAGTGGGTCACAGACTGCATAGTAACGGTCGATTGAGATAAAGGAAAGATGGAAAATGGAAGCAGTGCTCAACATGATATCAACACTGGTATGGATTTTGCAGAAGAACTCTCCAAAATACCAGCAGTTCTCAACAGATCTTATCATGCTGTAAGGCATGACACAGAAGCCTAGAAGGAGATCTACAGTGGCCATCGAGAGTATAAGGAAATTTGTAGGAGTGTGGAGCTGCTTGAAATGTGATACTGAGATGATAACAGCCAGATTGCCAGCCATAGTAGCCAGGATCACACACAGCATGAAAATGTACATGGAAATGCGAATGCTGATTGACCAGCTGTTCTTTATGCAGGAGCCATTGATGGATTCACAGCACAACTGCATCCTTTCAGAAGGTTCAGATTCATGCAAGCCCATCTCAGGCCCAATCCTATGGATATTGCATGTACAATTCTTCTTTTAGTGTAAAACCCAGGAATTCCTTAGTCTGTTGTCATCCTGCAGAGGGGAATCATCTGTCAAGGAGGGTAGGTGGGAAGCACAATATGAATATTTAGGGTTGAGATAAATTCTTCACCCACAACTTCAAAGCACAATTCTTGAACATTAACCCCCACTCTTTGCTGTAATTATATATTTTTCAGGAAGTGGCATAGCTTCTACTTATTTCCATAGCTTCTGCTGGATGTCACTTTTATCTTTGGACTCACAAGACAGCAGGGCAGAAAGCAATGCCCTTATTCTGATTAGGGTTCAGGCATCATCACAATGCCAAATGAGAGAGAGAGAGAGAGAGAGAGAGAGAGAACAGGAAGCACTGTTATGGATAGGCAAGGAATGATGGCAAAAAAGAGGGGAAAGCTAATGAACATTTGCTTGTGACTCTGATAGTACTCTAAAGAGGGGAGCCATTGTTTATGATGCAGTTGGCCACTATCCACATTGCTTCAATTGTTGCATCAAAATACTGTAGGACTAATCAGGCTTGTACCAGCTGCGCTACCCCAAAACCTGAGTACTGACCTTCAGCTCTGCATGACAACCCACTAGGGGATTCATAGTCCTCTGTTGTGTATTTGCCAGCCCAATGGATTAAGCAATTTCAAATGCTGGGAATCTTCGGCCAGACATAGTTAATGCTTTATGGCCTGGTCCTGTATAACTAACAGACAAAATGATAAAATAAGGAATCTTGAGACAATTCGCAGCTTTATGAATGCTGTCTTTCTTTTACATGAAAGCAATGCATTTTTATACTGTTATTGCAATATTTTAATGGTAATTTTATTTTAGCAAGATTGATATACTGTGGGATCTGACATGAAAACAAGCATCTGAAATAATAATGTGGCTTTTCAAGGGGAAACACAGCAACCCAGTGCTCCCCCCCAACCCCCACAGTTTTAGAGTCTAAAACTAAGGTTAGTCCTATTTATTCTAATGCAATGAATAGCTTTATGGAAAGATATTGCTCAATATATGACACCGAATCCATTGCACTAAGCCACAATACTTCTCTTCACTATTTTTGCTCAGTGTGTTGTGTAAAGCTAGCCACTGCAGTTTATTCAGGATGTTGTGATTAAATAAAGCACACCTTAGCGAAGCTAGTCATAAGGATGACATCATCACTTTCCCCAAGGATTGATTATAATGCAATAATATTCTGATATACTGTAAGGAGCACTATTTATTCAACACAGAAGGATTTTATCAGTCCTGTCTCTCTGGGTATGATGTAGCTAGTCAGGTTCTAGGTTTCACCTACCCCTATAAGTATTTCCTCTAATAATTATCCTTTCTTTTATAGTTATAAAAACTGTTTAATTAATTATTGCTCAATCAAATTCCCAGTCAGAAATGGCCACAAGCATATACAGTAATCTTCAAACTCCAACAGTTTGAGGAGCTGACCTGATTTCCATGTAATAATTATTCTAGGAAATAGCACAGGCTCCTGGAACACAAATCAAGGAAAGGGGGAATATCATTTTGCTGATAGAGGAATCTCTTCTTTCTGCAATCCTGGCCCTGGAACTAAAACATATTGTCCACTACATGGAAGCTTTAGTCTAAATAGTAGGATGTCTTTGTAAAGTAGATGAGAACAGCAGAAAGGTCAGTTTTTTTCAGCAAATGGGATTTTGAAATCAAGGAAGTAAAATAAAAGGCAAAAATTGCAAAATACATTTTACAAGGCAAAGGGGAGAGATATGAGGCAACAGTGAAGAAAAGACAGATTGGAGTGGAAAAGAGGAGAAAGGAAGAGGAAAAGAGAAGATTGATGTATTTATTATGCTTTTCTTTTTGTTTATGGCTGGCCAAAAGGACATCAGGAGGGATCTGCAATGGAAAGTTAATCCAAAGCAAGAATGAACATGGGCATTCAGGTCACCACGACTAGGCAGTATTGTGATGGATTCAAAATTAAGAATACAAATCATACTAAATAGTACTAAGCCTTGGGGCTTGATCCTTATAAACATCTTTTACTCAATTTCAGCTCCTATCCCTTCTTGCCCCACAGCATCTGCCCAATAATGGATGACTGTGCTTTAAGCTGCCATATGTTTCAGACAGCAGAAATGAAACTCAGTATCCAAAGTTTGAATCATCAGCCTCCAGTTTTTGTTAGAATAGGCTGCTTGCTTGGAACTCTCCAAGGTGCTGCCCTCCTTGCTTGAGCCCAGGATGTGGTATTTGAGGACTGTGACTTAACGCAAGGTAAGGGTCAAGGAGTTCTCTTGGCCAAAGCAATACAAGATGGTGACTTACTCTATTAATTCATCCAGTTCTGGTTTGCCAGCCCTTACCAGTTAACTGTTAGAGAAGATTAAGATACAACTGATTTTGCAGGGATAAAATGGAGATGAACTGGTGCTATCTGGTAATCTAATGCAGATGATTGCAGATGAGGGAGACTGAACTGATAACTGATAAATGAAAGTTTCATCCTATGCAAGCAGAAACTACCTTCACTAGTATCATTAACAAAAGTAAAAGCATGTATTTTATTAGCAGAAACAGAGGCTAGGAAAAGAGCCAGTTTGGTGTAGTGGTTAAGGCTTCTGGCTAGAAACTGGGAGAGTTTCTATTCCAGCCTAGGCACAAAGCCAGCTAGGTGACCTTGGGCCAGTCCCTCTCTCAGCCTTAGGAAGGAGCCAAGGGCAAACCACTTCTGAAACCTTGCCAAGAAAACTGCAGGGACATGTCCAGGCAGTCACCAGGAGTCAACACTGACTCGAAGGCGCACATGCACAGAGACTAGCAAACATGGAGCACCATGCTGTACCAACACTAGAGCTATCTTCTCAGCCTATACAGACAACTTCTATTTCCTTCAGCTCTTATACCTGTGCAATGTTTTAAGTTCTAAAATTATAAAAAATTATGATGCAGTAAAAAAACAGGGACGTGTGCATCCCATCTTGCAGAGAAATGATACCTTATCTAGCAACTATTAGTTTTTGCTTCTAATAGTCCAACAGCTATTGTACATAATGAAAGCAAGGTAATGAATGCATGCAATGCCTAAAACAGGGATCGCAAAAACAGGGACCAGCAAGTAAGTTTATGGATAGACTCCTCCTTTAAAGTCTGCTAGGCTCCCTCCACTGACATTTAAAACATTATTAGCTGTGGAATGTGCCTGCTGCAAAGCAAAGGACCAGGCTTTAGCATTAACTGCATTTCCAAGAATATCTCTGGGCTTTCCATAAACATGGGCATCCATGGGAGTGGGGAGGAAAGTGGGGAAATGGTGACAAATGTGTCATGACAACATTGCACAAATAATACTACTTATGTACTAATGTCCAATGTCATGATGTGGCTGATGCAAATGACACAATTACATCATTTTCACAATGACATCATGACACATACATCATCCTTTTTATATTCTCACAACTCTGGATAGTTAACAGTACACTAAACATCCAACACGACAATCCAAAAACCAAAATTAAAAGGACTCTAACAACCACAGAATCATCTAAACATCATATAATATGTTGGGACCCATAGAAAGTAATGTATCTCATTCAGCCACACTGGTCATGACTTGTTATGGACACCTATTCCCACAAACCTTGTAGATATTCTGAAAATATCTATGGTGGGTGACTGCAGTCATGAATTTGTTTGCAAATATGCCCACTGCCTACAAAAAAAGACTCAAGAAGGTAACAGATTTTTTTTTTTTTAATCCTGGAAAGTCCAGGGGATGGTGAAGTTCAACCCCACCACTTTGCCTTCTTTTAAATAGATGTTCTGAGTGTTGACCATGACAAGGCATTTGGGGAATAGGCAAGTCCCCCATAGATGTGAGCATCTACAGTATCCTCTCAGATTCTACATGTTGCTATCTGCTCTGAAAGATTGCCTGTGTATGATTTAAAAAGACCACGGAAATATTTAAAATAAAACATATAGCAAAAATGCAAAATATTAAAAAGCATAATAGGCATCAAGGCTATAGATGTCCCTTTTTGGTGAAGTTCTTTCATAACTGAGGGGGCTGCTTATTGAAAAAGCCTGAAAAAGTTCTGGGGATTTAAAACTAGATCCAATCTAATTTTGCTAAAGAGCAGGATGCATTTCATTTCATAGGACTGATTTCCAGTGCAAGCACCACTCATTCGTTCTCTCATTCACTCCATTCTGATTCTGGTTTAATAACAATCTCTTCACCCCCATGCTTCAATCAATCAATCAATCAATCAATCAATCAATCAAATAACTTGCTAGTGCTCCTCCCTTCATGGTTTTCAGTGCATGTATTTGCGCACATTTTTCTGGTAGTTTACCAAAACAATCCTGAAAGGTTGCTATGATGGGGAGCTATTCAAAGAGAGGTTGGTGGTAAAAATGGAAACAAAAACACTGAAATCCTCCAAAGGATTCTCTGTCTCTTTGCTGTCTTTCCTCTGTTGAATTTAGGAACCCCAGTGAGTTCTGATGGCCCCTTGGCAATTCTGCAGCCAATAGCCTTCCCAGGATTATAGCTGCATATTGGTAGAGTGGCTGGATCTGCAGTGAGTGGAGAACTTCCAATCAATGCATATAAAAAAAAGAAAAGCTCTAAAAAGAGGTTGCTGAACCTCTGTGTGCAACTGGGTTGAATGCAGGAGATCAGAGGTGAGATAAGGCAAGAACGTTGTCTACCTTTAGCAGTACTACAGTTTCAAGTAAATAAATATGATCAGAAACAAATTAGCTCATCTCCTCAAAACTAACAATATCACAAGATAGAAGAGACCTGGAACAGATCCAAAATTGTCCTGTGAAAGAAGATGTCATTCTGCAGGATGATAGTAAAAAAAAAAGGGGGGGGTAGACAAAACAGAAAAAAAAAACACAGAGAAGGGCAGAAACACTCATAGATAAAATCTACCCCTTCCAACT